TGTCTCATGCTTATTGAACCCCACAAAATGTTCTGTAGCACTTTTTTTTCCAATTTGCCAAGTTGTTTTAAGATTCTTTATTTCAAGAGCTAATTTCTCCCACCTTGGAAAAAATTGAATTGGGGAGGAAATACTGGAATTGAGTGAATGTCTTAATTTTCTGAATTTAGTACAAATTATTGGGTACACTTAACAAGGAACTACTCCCTAAAAAGTCTAGATGATCACTGGACATGAGGCTCAGGGATAGAAGTAGCTCAGGACCACTCACCTTCAGCTTGTTCACATACCCAGCATTCTCTTGTTATTGTTGTTGTTTATTTTATTATAATACACAACATAACATTAAATTTATCATGTCAATCTTTTTTTTTTTCTCTTCACACTACTGGGTAGTGAACCCAGGGCCTCATGGACACCAAGCAAGCCTTCTACCACTGAGTTACATCCCTGCCCCTACTTTTTCATACAGGGCTTACCAAATTCCCCAGACTGTCCTTGAATTTGTGATCTTCCTGCTTCAGCCTCCTATAGTATTTTTAGTTGAAGGCTTATTTAAAGACAGAATAAAGTTGAGGAGTTCAATTTGTAGGATTTTTCAAGAAATGTTTTGATGACATACATTGAGGTGAGACTTCTGTTTTAAGTATCACAGGTGCATTCAGATCTTTCCAATGTGTGAGTATTGTATTATATAGGAGGCACGATGCAAAAACCAACTTATGGTCAAAACACCTAGTGGATAAACTTCTGTGAATTGGGCTGATAGTTGGCTTTGCATGATTGGTTTACACTCACTCCTAAAAGCAACCACACCTATTCTAAACAGCTCCACATAGTTTCCTTTAAACTGCTTGGCTAGAAGAAGGAAACTGTGGCAGGAAGCTCTGAACAAGAAGAGAAGCACAGTGTCTTGAGGTCAAAAACCTTCTTATGATCATAGCAGCCTAGCATGTTTATGTGCTTAGAACCTCAAGAGGCTGAGGTTCCTGAAAAGTGCCAGGAGCAGAACGTGTAGTCCTATGCATGCCTGTTTCTGGCTGGACCACTTAGAAGTGAGAAAATTAGAGTTTGTGGCAGAATGGACCCAAAAAGCAAGCATTTACAGAAGACAACGAGTGCTGGGTGGTGCTGTGATGGGCAGGTAGAGGGCAGAGTCAGGATCTTCCTTTGCTCTCAGAAATCTCAGGTTTATTTGGCATAGTGGTCTCCTGGCCTCACCAAACTCAAGGTTCTTCCTTCCTTTGTCTCTCCTCCTTCCTGCTTCTTTCTCCCTCTCTCCTGCTTTCTGTTGTTCTCTTTTCCAGAAGGGTCCTGCAGGAATATTTGGAATGTGTGTGTTCAGTTCCTCTGGGTGCTACCTCTGGTTTACCTCCTTTTCCCTAGGGGTTGCATCATTAAAAGCTGACTTTATAAGACAAGATAGCTGTGATAGCACTGCCTTATTGATTACCTGAGCGCTTGTTCTCCCTCCCCAGATCTGGGCTCCAAGCCCCTCATTGAAATGAAGGGCTACGAGGACGAGGGCCTCTGGCTGGAGTGCACATCTGCAGGGTGGTATCCAGAGCCCCACGCAGTGTGGAGGGACACCTATGGTAAGGTCACTCCCTCCTTGGAGGAAACCTTCACTGTGGACAGAGATGGCCTCTTCACAGTCACCATGATTGTGATTATCAGAGACTCCTCAGTGAGGAACATGACCTGTTCCATCAGTAACACTCTGCTCGGCCAGGAGCTAGAAACTGTGATTTTCATCCCAGGTTTGTTTTCTACCCTCTGGGGACTTGTCATGTGAAGGTAGGAGCCTCAACAAACAGAGGGGAGCCAGTGAAAGTGGTGGGGAGGATGGAAGCGGGGGTGGGAGGGGCTTGGTAGGGTCCTAAAGAACTGGACACAGTTGAGCTGAGGCCTGTTCCCTTGTCACAAGGAGGAAATTAAGTACTCTCAAAATACATGAGTAGGAGCCTCTTCTATGAGGGAAGATCTGACCTTCTTTTCCCTAGTAAGATCCTGGTACTGCAACAAATTTTAAAGATTATTAATAATCCTGAAAAAAAAGAATAGTCCTGAGTCTGTATACCTGTTCATGTTGTCTACTGAAGGCCTTTCTTCCTGCTCAGAGCATTTCTCAAGGATCTATATATGGTATAAATTCCTTCAACAAATACTCAACAAGCATTTCTTATATTCAAAGTACTATTCTAGAAACTGAGGTAATCATTGGGTAAAACATATGAAGATCCATGCACTCACAGTAGTTACATTCTAGAGAGATTAAGACCAATGCATGCAATGATTAAAACAAGTAATAAAAAATTAGATTGTATATCGTATCAGACCATGATGAATACTGTAGGAAAAATAAAAGAGGAAAGATGGGATTGAAACATCCCACTTTCTTTGGAACTTTTAATTATTAACAGGTTGGTCAAGGGAGAGTTTACTGTAAAGATGAGAATTGAAACAAGGAATGAGGCATCAGATACTTGAGAGACTTTGTGACCTGGGTCACCAGAGCCACGTGTGCAAACGGACTGATGCAGGGGTGTGTCTGGCATTGCAAGAATTTCTAAAGGCAATGCTGGTGTGACTGGAATGGAGTGAGTACAGGGAGTAGGACAAGAGGACTTCAGAGAGACAGTGAAACCACATCAGACAGCAACACATATGAGAACCAGTCTTTGGCTTTTAGTCTGAATGAGATGGGAAGTGCTCGAGCAGATTTAGTAAAATATTCACATGATGTCAGGCTCTTTCATGGAGAATTGACTGTGCATGGCCAGGACAGAACAAGGAAGAAGGCAATGGGATATTGTAGACAAAGAAGGATGGTGACTCGCACGAATGTGGTGTCTTGGTGATTCTGTGTGGCAGGTAAGGGTCACTCACTGACAGTCCCTACAGTGACTGCAGTCTGCTAAAAGGGTAAATAGAGTATGTAAACCCCTGGGCTGGGAACATCTTGTGACAAAATTCAACTGAAATGCTGAAGGAACTATCAAAACACAAGAAAGAGCAGACAATTCACATTTGACTAGATTTTTTCCATAACTTTTGTCATATGGAAATAAGTTTCATGGGATCATGGCTTTTCAATAAGTAGTAATTATTGGATGTTTTAAATCCAGACCCAGTATGTTAGAACTGGCTTTATCTTATTCATTAATAGTCATAGAGGGAAAGCAAAGACTCTGCTGGTTCAAATTAAGAGACTTGAATTGAGTATATTTATGTCACATAACCCATCACTGTTGGTATGAAGCACATGAACAAAGTATAGTGGGGAGCACAGTCATAAATCCAGTGACTTCAAGCTGAGATGTATATTGAGCCTAAAGACGAAAGTGCATGTCCATCCCCTCAGTGCATCCTGGGTTGCAGCCCTATTTGGTATGTTGCTACCATCTACTCATAATGGCTCTAGAAGCAGTGTTGACAGCCATAGGTGTGGAGCAGTAGAAAGCAGATGGCACAGGTGAAAATGGTATTGAGGGTTTATTCCTTTCAGAGGTATTCATTGGCTACCTTGTATTTTTCCCTGGAAAGTTGTTTTGTTTGCAAAGTGTTGCTGGAGTCACACTGAAATATGTTCATATGCAGAAAATCAGTGCAGAAGAGTCATTGAGACAACTCACTTGTACAGTCTTCTAAAGAAAGGTTTGATACATTTGGCAGTTTATTTTGTTCAGACATCTATTAATTTTATTAGTTTCTTTGTGTAGGTACAAAAGACCTGACATGCAGAAATTAAGAATAAAAGGTATATTTTAGGTCAGAATTTGGTTATTATTTGACTCTAAAGAAGAAATATTAGAGTGAAAGGAAATGAACGGAGAGAGGGAACTAGAATATGAGAACCAGGAGCACAGAGCATAAAAAGTGCCAGAGATCTAATGTGAGGGAGAAGGTCCCTAAGGTCACACCTTCATCCCTGAGCCAGACGCACCAGAAAGTGTTTTACTAATATCCTACAAGCGTGTCGTGCCAAGAAAGATATTAGTCAAGAGTATCCCATGACTCTAGGTAATATTTTTCTACTTGGGTTAGTAAAGTGTTGAAAGATAAAGAGTTTCATCTTTCAACTTTTGCAGAGGGAACTACGGGAACTATAGGAACTACAGGAATAGGAGGCTTAGAGATAGTCTGAAGTTTTTAAGTTTCCCGGTCTCAACACCATGAAATGCATTTATTCAATTATTGTATTCCCTTTTTGGCATATGTTTATTTACTTTGATTAAAATGAGGAAATTGAGAGATACAGTTTGAGAAAATCTTGCTCATGAAGCCGACAACCTTACTGCAAATTTTTACCTCTCACAACATCAGGCCTTCCTTCTATTCATTGTGTTCTGGCCTGCCTGAACTTACGGTGTTTTCTCACGGTGATTTCTCCATAGTATTTTCACTTGGGAACTGTCTTAGCACATTTGTGATTCCATTTTGAGGAGCAACACACAGCAAGAGTCCACTGAGTCTAATAAGAAGACAGGAGAAGACAGGGATTGCATGCCAGCAGTCCCAGACCTGAGGAGCCTGTTGTAGGAGGATGGCAGAGAGTTCAAGGCCAGCCTTCGCTACACAGTGAGATTTAAAGCAGATAAAACTACACAGCGAGATCCTATCTTTAAAAAAGGCAGAGGTAGGTCTGCAAAACCAGGAATAATACTGCTTAATCCAAGGCTAGACCAGGTCGGCATCATGGGAAAGAAACTGGTCTTGAAAACTGGGTTACAGGGGGCTGGGGATTTAGCTCAGCGGCAAGCGCCTGCCTGGCAAGCGAAGGTCGTGAGTTCAGTTCCCGGTACCGGAGAAAAACCAAAAAAAAAAAAAGAAAACTGGGTTACAGTCTGCCATATGAGCTCCATTTAGGTACACTGGTAGGGATAGGCTTCTCTTGTCAATCTCAGTTTAGGGGGCGGGCCGAGGAGCAGCAGCAAATCAGCGTTGAGGGGCGGGCGGTAGGGCTGTCCAATCCGGTGGGCCAAGGGAGGAGGGTTCTGTCTCCCAGCGCCAAGGTCCGGATCCTGAGCCCATTGCTAAGCGTCCGCCCAGCTCTTTAGACTTCCTTGCTTTAGGATTTCTACTGGCCACAGACCTACGGAGAAGGCCCGTGGGAGACCCTGAAGCCACGCAATGGTGAGGCTGTGAGGTGGGTGCCTCGAGATGGGTCGGGAGCGGATGGGGCTTGAGGTCTGGATGGAAGAGCGTCCCTATGGACGGCAATGGCGGGCTGGAGCCTCCCTGCCAGCTTCAGTGTGAGTCCCCCAGTCTCTAGGGCTGTGTTCAGTGAGTCCATCCTGCCCTGGCGGAGCAGGTGCATTTTGGGTACTCAACACCCTTTTTTCCTTCAGCCACGCTGCCAGCTTAGAGTGCAGTCTGAGGCAGCCCCAGCCCACAGCAGCGTCGCCAACTGTACCCGGACAGTGGGATTGAAAGGATGAGCTGGGGAGCTGTGGTGTGCGGCTTCCCAGCTCTCACTCCTCCCACCAGCATACTCATGGAAATTAATTTTATAAAAGTCTGTGATAAACGGTCTAAAACCCACAACTGAGGTCCTCTGGCCAATGCTCTTTCGTGGTGAGAGCAAATTTCTGTTTCCAATATGTGCCCGCATTGTCACACTCATGAATGGTGATTATAAATGTCATTGAATCCAAAGAAATGTTAAACATTGCCGGTGATGAGACTTGGTGGTGGAGCTCTTGGCGAGCATGCAGTGAACTGCTGTCTCATACACAAAAATTTAAAAAAAAAAATCATGTGAATTACTTAGGAGACACATCTATCTACTAACAGACCATTTAAGTGAGGTCTTTCCGTAGAGTTTAGAATACTGGGGGCAATAGAGCAGATGTTAATGTATTAGAAAGGGCAGGAGAAATACTACCTCAAGGGGCTGAGTGAACTCAGGACTTTTCCTCTAACCACATTCCTCACACTTTTTAGTAGTTGTTTTAAAAAAATTTGAGGCCAGGTCTCACTAAGTTCCCCAGTCTGTAGTGAACCTTTTGTTTGTTTTTGTTTTTTGGCTTTTGAGACAGGGTCTTGCTATGTAGTTCAGTCTGGCCTTGAAGTCATTATGTAGTTCAGTTTGGCCACAAAGTCTGGAAAATCCTTTACCTACTCCTCCTGAGTGCTGGGAATTACAGACATGTGCCACCATGCCGGGCTAAGATTGGGATACTGTATCACCACTGTGTTTTGTTTTGCTTTTATTACCACTGTTAACCAGCATTACAGTGCTGGGTTAAATGAAATTTCAGGGAGGCATGGTGGTACACAACTTGCATTTCAGTCACTTGGGACACTGAGGCAGGAGGATGGCAATACCAGGGCCAGTTTGGACATTGGAGCAAGATGCTGTTCCATGTAAGTAAAAATACTGGGGCTGTGTCTCCAGTCTAAAGTAACTTGAGTAACACGGATAATACCCAGAATTCAAACTCCAGTACAGAATTATATTCTAAGAAATTATAGCCATTAGTGGAAAATTTACTTTACTTTTAGAGTTTTATGCTGTTTGCACTAGTAATATGTGATAGAATACTTGCTCAGGATGCTGGGCAGCAGCTGTGAGTCACTGCTCTGTCAGCATCAGGAAACCATGTGAAAATGGCCTGTGATTTCCAGTGCACCATGTTCAGTAAAGGCCACAAGATATTTATTATTTAACCATGAAATAGGCTATGTGTTACATAAGTTTCCTCAACTACAGGTCAATATAAGTGTGTTGAGTTCTTTTAAAGGAGCCAACTGTTAATAGTAATGTTTGCTAGATTAGGTGTATTCAGAGCTTTTTCAATAGCTTTTATTTTCAACTACCATTGGGTTGATCAAGACATTTTCACTTAGTTATTTAAGCAGTAGTCAGTCAACAGTTTGTAAACTCTTTCTTTTTTCCTTTTTTTGGTACTGGGAATCGAACTCATGACCTCAGACTTGCCAGGCAAGTGCTTATGCCACTGAGCTACATCCCCAGCCCTGTAAACTCTTTCTTTGTGGAATATGAAACTGATCAGATAGCTTCCTGTATTGAGTGCTGTATTAACCAGGGTTTCAGAAGAAATTGAACTGGGACACATGAATAGAGTTTGGATAAAAGAGCATAACTTTGAGTTTGTTTTCTCATTTTGGTTTGGTTTGGTTTGGTTAGGTTTTATTTTGCTCTTTATTTATTTGTATTACAGAGAGAGTACCACTGTGGTCAGACTGTCTAGCTTGCTTTACCAGGACGAGTGTTCAGGATAGAAATTGTCAATGAACACATCCAGGGCTGAGCAGTTTGATCACAAGACACCAACCACGTACAATGCTGAAGAGAAAACACTTTCGTTCATAGTTTGAATTGATGCTGCTTTCTGGAGCTATTCTAATTGGGTGAAAATTTTTGTCTTTCTCCTCTGCCTTTTTCTATTTTCCTTTCCTTGTGCTTAAGGGATACATCTGTCTAGCACTGTCTCTTCCATGACTTGGGGCTCTTTTTCCTTTGCGGTAACTTGCTATTCTCTGGCAGCATGGTGATCCTGAGCTTTTGTTATGTGGTCCATGTGTGATCAGAGGCTGCCGTACCTGAAATCCACCCCCTCCCCCACCACCCCTGAGTTCTCCTGCATTCCCCATGCATTGGATAACTGTCTCATGTTCTGCTCTGGAGAAGGCCATGGGACTCGCCTAATGAGAAGGAAGGGCGCAGCTGAGGTAATGCTCAGAGCTTGAATTCAAGCCAGCTGTTAGCCTGGTCTCTATAACTACACCTCAGCGTGTGTCAACTTAGCACAGCAAGCAGTGGAGCCTTTTGTAGGTTCATACTCCAGTGGAATCGGAGGGGCAGCTGGGGGAAACACATGAAAAGAGAGTGTGCAAGTAGATTAAGTTATTTAGGTTCAGTTATTGTGCTGGGGTTTGGTGTGCAGAGATAGAAATGGCTGGTCTTGGGGTCATTTTTTTTGTTTGTTTGTTTGTTTTGTTTTTTTTTTCTCCAGTACTGGGAACCGAACTCACGACCTTGTGCTTGCCAGGCAGGCGCTTTTGCCGCTGAGCTAAATCCCCAGCCCAGGGCCATTTTTGTACACTTGGGGTCCCATGTCATTCAGAAACTGATGTGTCCACTGCACCACTAAGTCAGAGGTTTTTAGCCACTGGTGATTCCATACTTCAGAAAACATGTGGCGGTATCAGGTTACCTTATTTGCCTTTTCCAAGGCTATAGGAAAGCAGGCTTTTCCATTCTGGCAATGACATAAATATACAACACAGCTTCTTTTTCTTTTTGTTGTAGAAACAGATTTGAAAAGGTGCCATAGATTCTCATGAGCACATTTGCTAGTGCACAGAGTGTGTGTCCATGTAAAATCTAACACAGACTATCCACACAGCAACTACCAGAAGGTAATAATTCCTAATTCTCATAACCACAACATTAGACTTTTCACAAGTTCATGAATTTTATGGATTTGCATTCATATACATTTTTTTCCTGTTTTTAATTTTTATTTTATTTATTTATTTTTTAACAGACAGACAACATTTTACAAAATAGCAAAGGAACAGTACAGACAGTACGGAGTTACAAACAAAGTGGTAGGGAGTTAACAATGCTTGTTGTATTACATATTGATATCTTCAAAGTGGTTTCTCATGAAAACAGATATAGACATGCAATGCTTATCAACCAAGGACTCACTGACAGTTCCTTTCAGCAAAGAAATACAAGACAGTAGAACAGCCATGTTGACTATCCTGCATATACATACATACAAACTTTCTCCTTCTTTCCCTTCTCTTTTCCCACATCCCAGTTGCCACCACGCCCGGCTCCAGTTGATCTTTCTGACAGCATATGTGTTCTTGTCATTGTTCTAAAATGTTACATCTGGGTATTTTTGTCATCTGTGAATAGTGATTTTTTTTTTCTTCCATTTTAATCCTTCTGTCATTCATTTTTCTTTCTTGCTTTATAACACCACACCTGAATTTTAGTTTCATGTGAAAGAACAGTGGAGGCAGTGAATGTGCTTGACTTATTTCTGATCCTAAAAAAATTCATGTAGAGCGCCTCCATTCAGTGTCCCATGTGTTAGTTTTATACTATATGGTGCTTCATTTATTTGTTAATCCCTTTTACCTGTTTATTACAGGTCTTTAAGAAATAATTAATAGAATGTAAGATTTAGAAGACATATTTATGCCAATATTGAAATTTATCACATGAGGTTTGTCTTTGTTGATTGAAGTTTCTGATAATGAGCCATCTTTATTTTGAATAAAATGAACATCACTTAAATCATCCTATGGTACATGTGTGAGTATATGTGTGTAAGATTGTGTCTGGTTTGTGTGTAGTACTTTAAATTGGACCTAGGGTGTCACACATGCTAGGGACCCATGCTACTACTTAGTTAAAGGCCAAAATGAGAAACTGTTTTCTAATAAACACTTATGTTTGACTAGGTAATGTTTTATTCTGGATTTGAAAATCTGCAAGATGTAATGGGCTTATAATGGTCTTGGAAATATCTTGCCTGATTTAAGGTAGAGATTGCATTAACTTGATGAAATGTAATTGCAAGGATTTTCCTATCCCTTTGTTTATTACACGTGATACCATGCCCAGCTAAGCATACCTTTTTATTTTAATGTTTACATTAGTATATATTTTCCATGCATAACAAATATATTCATCAAGGGGTTGATACATATACATATCTCATCTTGATCACTATCTTAAAGTTTCAATGAAACACCTGTAATTCCTTTGGGAGATGAATTCATGAAGGGAAGTTTTATGATTGCTACTTTGGTTCCTTGACAACTTGTTGGAGTCTCCACAATTACTCTTAGTCATGTACCACATTTGAAAATTTATATATTTGTAAGAATTTATCTACTATCTTCATCTTATTAAATGATAATTTAATTGTGCTTTTCTCTTAAAATATCCTTGATTAGCCAGGCACACTGGTATGCTTAGAGAATCCCAGCATTCCTTTTTTTTTATACCAGGAATTGAACTCAGGACCTTTGCTTGCCAGGCAGATGCTTATGCTGCTGAGCTATATCCGCGGCCCAAGAATCCCAGCATTCTAATGGCTGATGTAATAGGATCAAAATTAGGTGTCCAACTTGGGCCAGATAGTGACTCTTTCTTAA